AGTGAAATATTAAACCCATGAAATTATGGATATGATCCAAACTGACCGTCTCAAACTTGGTTTTGAAATAGTTTGAATGAGGCCCATAAAAAAATTGGATTATTTACAAAGTCTAAAGGAGAAATTCAGTATTATATTCTCTCCCCATTCAGAGGGAAACTTAAAGTAAAACAAACAGGACTGCCAAAGCCATTTTAAAGATTCCACTGTAATGAATGCTTTAAACTACAGTAAATCTTGTAAATATTACTATTCTCCTTCTTGTTGAAATGAGTTTTGTTCTATGAGTTTGGAAAAGCCTGACAATCATCTTAATATCATATCATAGAAGCTATATGTATACATCATAGAAACGATATATAAGTTTCTGCCTTCACAGACACATAAAATATATGCTGTGTTTAAAACCTTTTGCTTTAAGATAGACACACTGCTTTCATGAAATTTCTTATGCTGCAGAACAGAGACTGGCAAAAAGAGTAAATGATGGGGTAACCAGTTTCTGTAGGTGACAAGCAAATCTTGTTGCATCAGAAGGAAACTTCCTTGTTCCTACATTAATTCCTCTGATAGATTAAGACAAACAAAACCATTGCATAGTCCTTTACACCCATGGTACAGGACCAGGTGTGAGTAAAGCCCATGGTTAATTGTTTCCAAACAAATCTCCCTATAAGAGGGTTTGAAATACAAACCCTCTCCCAGACAAACTATCACTACGTGGAACAATTTCTCTTATCTCAAGAGGCACCTCACTTTACAAAGCCAGAGTCTAGGCTATTTTTTATCACACCTGCAGATGACTCCCAAGGCAGTTGGTGGGTGATTGTGCACAATATTGCACAAAGCACCCAGACCTGTGTGCCTGTGGCTGCAGTGGCAGCCAAATACAGAATTAACCCATCCAACAATTGCCTTACAAGCTACACTGGACATGAAGCATAAAGAAACAGTGATAAAGTCAACTTCTAAAATTTATTTTCAATCTGTTGCACACAGTTCACCAGTTGTTTTACTGAGGTTTTCCCTCATACAGCAAAACAGGGATATTTCCTTCTGCCTGGACAGCTGGAGTGAGGGTGATGTGCTGCTTAACAGTGGAAGAATCACTGATAAAACCTTTCATAACCAAGAACCTTTTCGGGCAAATCTTTACTCAGTATCTGTTTATTAACTGAATTATGAGGAAGTATGTACCTGGGTACATAACACTGACCCTGTAACATTAGGAATAGTTACAACACAGATATTGGTGTCTCAGAATTAAATAACTTCATGAAGAAATCATTAATTCATAACAGTATATTACTGGAATACAAGGAAAGATAAGAAAACCAACCTTGAAACAATGGTAGTATTCTCCAGATGGAAACCGGCCCTTGACTGGCAAACTGCCCAAGGGAACATTCCATGAAAAATAAGGGCAAGCCAGCTAATGCCAGCATCAGGGTGTAGGGGATTAGAAAAGCACCTGGGAGAAGGAGATAAAAAAATGGGGGGGAAAGCACCATCATACACACTGAGAAAACAAAGCATCTTTCAGCATCACCACAGTTTTATCACATTTTATACTCCCCTTTTCCCCCTGCTCAAATACCCCACTGTAGGGGCTTTTTTCAAAATGGAGAGCTTTGTTTCTAAATCCTGTTTTCTGTTAAGGCTAAATAGTACCTGCATTGAAAGTCAGAACTGCTGATTTGTAAAGAATGGCTTCTCCTATAGAAAGTAAATTAATTTTACAAAAAACTATTGGAGATGTGCTCTAATACATGCAGGAATGCTGCTCAGCTGTAGGCACCACCAGCCTTGTCCACTTTCTATTTAATCTTCAGCTTTTAATTTAAAGAGGAACAGAACCATTCCTGTATGTGCTCAACTGTGTTTTGCAACTGCCCTGCTAAGCAGCTACTGGACATCAAAGTATGAAGATTATTTTCTAAGGTTGGCTGAGTCCTGTGTCAAACAACATCTCAGGATGGCTCTTGTTCAAGTCCATTTAAAAGTGCATGTTAACCTGATATCAGTGAGCTCCTTGTTCTGTGAAAAGGACTGGCACTTCTTTGTGTGTGCACAGAAGACAGGGAAAGCGAGAGCACGAGTTTCATAAACACAACACGATATCCCTGCAGGAATCTGTCCTCATCACTCTCAGTGAATTTAAAGCAATCAAGGACCCAGTTCTGCAAGGAACTGCAAATACCTGATGTAATTTCAGGAAGCAAATTGTTCCAGAGAATTAACTGGATTACTCCTGTGTTTCAAAACAAGGATGCAACAGGTGTCTTTATCAATCATGGGCAAGGGGCACAGAAAATTATGCAAGCACCAGCAAAAATATGCTTTAAATGCAAAGTCTCTGCAGCAGGTAAGAAAACAGATCTAGGGCAGATCCAAGGGCTGACATCACAATTTATTTTGTTTTCACAATTTTCTTCAACAAAACTCTAAGTAATGCAAACCAGCCCAGCTCACTCCAATAAAAATTCTGTACTGGGAATGCCTTCTTATGTTCCGTGTGCAGCTGTGTGGGCTGTACTGCATTTACAGCCCAGAATTTGACTTCAACTACTGTTAGGCAGAGCAAACAGGTACATATAAGTAAATTCTCTGCAGTTACTATTTATGTACTCTTTAATTACCAGTGGTAGCCTGTCAAGTAGATAAAGCTCTGGAATATAAGCCAAGGAAACCAGTGCCTCTGCTTGGCTTTGCCACTAGTTCATTGTGTAAGCAGGTAGAGGCTCTGTCTCACACTTCCCAGGTGTTTGATCTGGGCAATTATTGAGCTGAGATAATTATTCCAGCTTAGATTGTTTGCATGGAAAAACAAAGGTGTAGGGGTGATTCAACAGTTCTCTATAAACATACCAGGTATAGTATATAACAAACTTACTGGGAGGTAAGCACTGGGGAGGGAGAACAGCTATTTAGACAAGTAGAGGATATTGGCACATGGACAAAAGGGTACGTGTTGGTTCTCAGTAATTCTGAAGATGAAATTCTCAGGTAGAAATTTGCAACTCAAACTAAATACTATTTCACTTCTCAGCTGGTACTCAAAAAGCACATAGGTGCCTCTAACTCCCCTTTCCCATGAGCGGGCTCTATCCCAGTTCCCAGGGTGATGTTCACATCCAGCTTTGACAGAACATGCCCAGCCTCAGAGCTGGCCCTTGGAGCTTGCTCTCCTCTCTCCCGAGGAGAGCAAGGTGTGCCCACCCGACCCTGCCATGCAGCACAGGTACCTCCTCCATTCTGGTAGGTGAGGTAGGGAAAGCGCCAGACGTTGCCCAGGCCCACGGCATAGCCCACCATGGACAGCAGGTAGTCGCCTTTGTTTGACCAGTTGCCACGCTCCGAGTTCTCATCGCTGTCACTGGAGTGGGCATCTTTTTCATTTGTCAAACTGAAGTCCTTGGAAGAGAAGAGGGAAGGCTTGTGATCACCCACCAGGCAAGAAGGGCAATCATATCAGCATTTCTCTGTCCAGAGACGCACCTTGGCACAGGTGGGCAGCCAGAAAGGATGGGCACAGCCAGCTAGGCTGCCAGTCCAGCTGATCCCTGGCAGGAATGCACAGATCTGTGAGAGAGGGTCCCACCAGAGAGCCCAAACACCTCCACAGACAGTTTTGCCTTACTCCTGCCTTAGTCCTTTGTGCTGTCAGTCCCAGGAGACTCCCCTATTCTGCCCCTGCACATGCCCAGATGCCCCTGTTGTTGTTCAGTTGCTCACATCAGCACATAGCTGTATGGCCACTTTAAAAAACACCTGTCCTAGTGCCTTATATGCCGAGGTGCTCATCCCACTTTACCTTCCACTACTTGTTTGGATCTCACCTGCCCAGACAAATCCATACCTGCCCACAGCTGCCGACGTACCTGCACCCTGCTTGCCCGAGTGCGGCTATGCCCACCTGGGCACCTCCATAACCCACACTCGCCTACATCCTCGCACACCTGCCCAGGTGCCTCCGCACCCCGCCTGCCCGGGAGCCTCCGGCCAGCCTCCCCCCGCCGCCTCACCTTCTTCTTCCCGCAGGACAGAAAGCCGGGCAGGCTGAGCATCCCCATCTCTGCCGCCGCAGCCGCTGCGCTCTGCCCGCGCCGCCCGCCGCCCGCCGCTTTATCGGACCGGCTGCCGCCCGCCCCTCGCTGCCCCGCCGGGAACCGCGGCCCCTGGGCTGCCCCAGGGCCCGGGCGGGGCCGCCTCCCGCCCCCGGGGCAGCCCCTCGCAGCCCGTGCCCGCTGCCCCGCCGCACCCCGCCCGCTGACCCTCCTCCGGCCCCGCGCCCACTTCCTCGGGAACACCCACCTGCCTAACACCTCGCCCGGCCACCTGCCCACTTCCCCTGTTAAATACTGCCTGCCCTCCGCACGCCCTCGCTCCTCGCCTTACCCCGACCCACTTCCCCTGCCACCGACCTGCCTGGGCTCGCTCCCCAAGTCAGGGCTCTTCAGCTCTCATTGCACCCCTGCCTGGCCGCCTCTCTGGCACCCACCTTCACTTCTAGCATGTCCCCCCACTCCTTCCCCTCTCCCTCCCCTTGCCACTACCTACCTATACACTCTCCTTGTCTTGTACCTCCAGGCTGCCAGTTCCCCATAAACACTGCCCCTCACCTGAGCAGCTCACCCCGCTGCTCCCTGTGCCTCCCGGCGGAGGCACTGCCTGTCCGCCTCACCTCTGCTCACTGCCCCGGAGACCCTGCTCCACCCCCACCTGCGCCACGCTCGAGTCCAGAGCAGCAAAGCAAAGGGCACAAGGGGGTTAAACACCATGGGAATTTCAGCTTCTGAGCACGCTTTTCAGGTACAGGCACAGAAAGGGCAGGTCATAAAAGTAAAGTCATCTCCAGAGGAAGAACTTGAGCAGAAAGACTTAAGGATTTTTCTACAGCACTCCCCTGCTTCAATCACCAATGTGGCTGTGACATTTCACCCTTTATGGGAAGCAATGTCACAGTGACCTTCCCCAGGCATTCCATAACACATGCTCAAAGCACACTCTGTGTACAGACATAAGGAGACACAGATCATCTGGTTGCTTAATGGCTCTCCCCTATTTATAAATGGTCTTTTCCATTATTCTTTCAGATCCACACCTTGACAAATATCTTTTCTGTCCAAATTAGTGGGACTTTTCATTTAGCAAAGTGCTACCAGCGTGTCTCAATCTAGCCACAACTAAGAGGTACCCCAGGACTGAGAACTGTGTGGGACAACATCTGAAAGGTGGGAAGCTAAAATAAGATTGTATTCTATCACCCTGTGCAGCAGACTCTCAAGGAGAGTTATATTTTAGATAATGCAAAGATGCCAGATTAATCTTATCTTTAGAAAAAAAGCAAGTTCAGGTGCACTGTCCTGACAGGACATAGGCTTTGGGAGAAAATAATAAATGAAAATTAAAGGAAACACTCCTCTACGGGTATCTGCAGTGAGCAGTGGAGAAATTAGTATCTCTAGAGAGGATCATGCCTGAAGCAGGGCTGTATTTCTCCTGTTAGCTCTGCAGCTGAGCAGCACAGCAGCTCCACTGCAATCACTAGGGACTGAGTCCATCAGGCTGATCCCTGAAGGCTGGTTCCTCACAGCTGGGACAGCCGCTCACCAACCAAGCACCATGTCAGCCAGTCAGCCCTGGAATGTCTCAGCTATGAATACAGAATCATCAGCCAGCAAACCAGAGCCAGTTTGGCTCTGCCATAGATGAGATGTCTCATCTCCTGACCAGCAGCCTAACTGACGTCATCCTTCTAGTTTGGAAAGCACCGCTGGATTACTATCAATGCCATTTACTGAATCTTCTGTTAATCCAATGGGGAGAAAAAGTTATTTAGAAATAAATTAATTATAATCTTAACATGCTGAGAATACAACAAACAATTCTGACATTTCCTAGGAGCAGGGAGATACCCATGTTTTCCATTTGGTTGCACCAGTGCTATTATCAGATGTTGGGTATTGCCCTTAGCTAACACAAACAGCTGTGGTGATACAGCAGATTGTGTTTGGTGTGCTTATTTAAGAATACCATGAGTAAATTCTGTTCTTAACCTATACCTCCTGCGATAGCAGTGCTTACTAATATTGCCACCTGACATCCAAAACTGATCCAGCAGACAAAGCTGGGGCTCATTTACCTCTCCCCTTCCCAACTGGTGTGAGCTAAAGACCAGAAAACCCACTTTGCAAATCACTTTAGAATGCACTAAATCCTGGCAGGCTAACACACATAGACCAACCAACCAATAGCAACAAAAGAACCCCATGTTGGCCTTCAGGATCCTAGGAAGACTAAATCATTTAACTGTCTATCAACAGCATGTAATTACTCTCATCCAGAGCTCAAGTGGCAATGTTACACTCATTAGAGGAGAGGATCAGACAGACAGGACTGCTATAAACTGACAGGTGAAGCAAGGCAGAAAACATAAAATGTTGGCTCCTGCAGGAATTATCATCTCCTCTGCAGTTGAACAGAACCAAGCCCTACAGTTCACATTTAAATTAAGGCTCTCTGCCTAAGAAAGCATCAACCTTGATTTAAAGACAAAGTGATTAAAAATGAGACAATCTCCTTGGTGTTGAACTGATCTACAGGCAACTTAGACCAAACCTTTACCACTAACTTAAAAAAAAAAAAAAAATCAGTCATTGGTCTAGTAGCCCATGAAAGCAAGGCAGCATTCTCCATCTGGTGGGAAGTGTCTTATTTCACTGTGAGCCTGCTGTAAGCAAGGTAGAAGAATATCTACAAGGAGGGCATGTCAAGAAGTGGCCCTTCTGCTTAGAAGACAGAATGGAGAGGCAAAGATGGTGTTGTCAAGGGCAAATTACAAAGCCAACAGTGTCTGAAATGGCCATCTGTGACTTCAGAGAACTACCTGTGCAAGCAGACAGGGTTTATAGCAAAACACAGTGTGGGAATTACTTGCTGAAGAGGCCTGGCTTGCTGGTTCTAATGGTTCATCCAACTGTTTATGTAATAAAGGTAGGAAGCAAGTTTTCCTACCAATGCTGCCAATCCCTTCGGGGTGATGAGGTTTTGCTCATGGGAAAAGGAGTTGATATATTATATATCCTCCCTGGATTTTTTTTTCTTTATCAGTTTTTGCTTTTCTCCGTAACTGGGATGTTCACTGCTGCTGCTCAACAGGCCACCAGGACACACACATCTACCCAATATGGATCTCTACCCACAAATTTGTTTTCATTAAATGGATATCCTGAAATAATTTGATTCAGAAAAACACAAAAGTTTTCAGTACTGTGTGTAAGTTTGGTTCACTAATAAGAGTAATTCATTCTATTATGAATTATATAATCATATTAAAGACTCTATTGATAAAATCACAATGAGGTACTTAATCCAATTTTCCTCCAACTTCAGGACTTTTGGATTCATCTCTAAAGTCATCTCAGAGGTGAGAAATGCAGCAAAGTCACTCCTACTTGTCTCTATGGACAGTCTGCTACCATAATTCAAAAGAAGCAGCTGAAACCTCACTCATTTTTCTCCTTACAATTGAACAGTTGCAAAAGTCCTATAAATGTAAAATGCTTAAGCCTTCAAAGTTATGCTCATAGGATGGGTGGAGACTTGAAACTATATGGAAAGCAAATTTGCCCTCAGGCCTTTTCAGCAGGTTGCAACCTGCAAATCATTAATATTATATGCAGTAATCAAGTTAGTGATGGGGAAGTTTTACATATGCATGTAGAGAAAACTTATAAGGCAGAAATAAATTAAAATATAACAATAAAACAGAAAGGTTCTGCAGAACTGCTCTTCTACTACACTCAACCTGGAAGATTTTGTTGTCCTAGCCACTCAAGAGGAAGCCACAGGTCTCCATCCACAAAATTAATCAAGGTGTTTTCATGACTCTTGGCAAGATTGACAGGTCTGTATCTATGGAACATTAATCTCAACTTTAGTTAATTTTATTCAAGGGTTGGAATGTGCTCCTCAATAACGTCACCCTCTGATCAAAACTCCAGGGTAACATGGTCTTTCTTGTATCACTGCTTCTCTCCAGTCCCTGAGAACTCATCAATCTGTCAGAGATTACTGAAGTTGCCATACAGGAAAAAAATGGTTGTTCTCAAACACAGAGCTCCATCGAAAATAAAGAGAAAGGCAACCAAGAAAGGACTAAATATGGATAAAGGTCGAAGCTGTTCAAATCATACAACCATATGAAAATCTCTGCTGAAATCCAGACTTGAATTAGAGTTACCAAAGCACAGTGAATAGCAGCATTTGTAGCCCATCTTAATTCCCCCAGTTCTGCTTCCGCTTTTGGCACAGAGCATCTCAGTTTTCCATGAATCATTGGCACCTTGTGCCAAACAAACATCCAAGCCTTTCCAAGATGCATCAGGCAGGTGTCACTCTACCTGCCCCCTCTCTGACCATCCTAGAGGCAGGTTCCAAACACGTTCAACTTGTCTTTGAGCAACTGAAATGCTCTGTAAACACAAAACCTCAGGTATCGCATGAGCGAAGACGTAACAACAGATACAGCGAAGAAAAGGGAAGAGATAAAGTATGGGAAAATGAAAAACTGGAAGCGTGCAATTAACAAAACTTAATGATCAGGGAGCGCATTGGTGTCAGAATATAATGACTTTTCTGTTAGGAAATATTTCAGAGGTGGGGCCAGTAGAAACTAAGGAGTCATTTTTAATTGAGTAAAATAAAGCACAGGAGGGAGTACAGTAGTAATTTTCAAATATGCTGTACTGAGTTCCTCAATCATTAACAGTTTAATTTTTAAATTCTTCCCCAGCACCAAGTGCCAATATTTCTGGAGGTCAGCACTGCCAAGAGATGCTGGTAGGTAGTTTATCTTCCCCAGCTCCCCAGTTCTATACTTTCTTGCTAGTTGCTAGGAAAAAAAAAAAAAAAAAAAAAAAGAAGCTTTTCACAGAAGATAACATAAATGCATATTCTTGAGAAGCTTTTGACTAAGAGAAAAGCTTTGAAATACAGGTATTGGCTATCACACAGCAAAAAGAAGACCTTTCAGCTCAGTCCTTTCCTTGAGGTAATTTTACATATTGACATGCAGTCTTGCTATGTGATAGCCAAGAGAATTATCTTTGTGATTGTCCTCCTTCACAAAAGGACAAAAGCCGGGCTGTTAGTCCTGCCTGATATCTTTGGAATGGAAATACCTCCATCAACACTTTCCTCTGTGTGATACCTGTTCCTGCAGGTTAGCAATTACTCTCAGAAAGATCTCATCTAAGTCACTGGGGCTTCTCATGTGAGAAAAAACAGCCTCCTATCAAGTAGTAATGCCATAAAGTCACCTGCTGCAATAACAAGATTCTGAGTCCAAAATGAAAAAGCAAGATTTGCAGGGACACTAGAACAATTACTTAGCTGGGCATTTTCACAATTTGGGAAAGAAAAAAAAAAAGCATTTAAAAGAATTTAAATACTACAGGTATTATTATTATTCCTTCTGCTATCTGTATCGCCTACAACTCTTTTCATCATTAGACTTAGAAATCCTTTCTAAAAGAAACTGGTCTTTTTACCTTTTTTCAAGGATGGTAGCAGAGGTAGGGCTCAGGTATGTAATATAGCACAAGTTTTGCAGAGAGCATGTGAACTGCAGTGGTCTCAAGCATTAGACCCTGTCATTTCTTTAGCTTCACCATAGGACCTCCTCCCCTCTAAAATCAGGGAGTGCATTTGTATTCCCCTTAAGCAGGGAAGAAAGTTGACCACCCCAAAATAATCCATAACTGACTGGGAAGAAAAGCTTTAAGAATCACCATAAGTTATTTTATGACCCACAACACTCACCCTGGTTGCCACAAATCTGGTCACTCCCCTGACATTCCTTTCCAGGCCCTCGGGCTCTCTCCCTCTGGCTCAGGCTCTCCTGAACAGGCATCCTCACAGCCCAGACCTGCAGTATCAGGAACAGCCATATCTGAGCCCAAAAGCCCAGAGAATGGCTGGGTGGAAGGGACGTGAAGGCAACTCCCATGGCCCTGCCATTAGCAAGGCAGCAGTGGCAACACCTGCTCGGGGTGGATCCTCTCAGCTCACTCTCACCTGACACAACAGCCAAAGAGAAGTCATTTTCTAATGAAACACTGATTTTGACCAAGCCTCGCAGAACTCCCAACACTGAGGATTTTCTGGACTTTGCCTGACTTCCTATGCCTAAACTCAGGGCCCACAAATTTTAAGCTTGTTAGGCAGCATCTCAGCATGAAGCTTCTAGAATTAGTTTTGCATTCATGTTTCACATAATTGCCACTTTAATTTATTTGAAGGAAGGGCTGAAGTCTCTATCAGACTTCAAAGAGTCTCAGGATAGAAAGGTAAGGGACTGAGTACTGTCCTGGTGTGAGGTCTCAGTGCAGCTGTACCTCTGAAAGGTGAATTGCTGAAATTATTGGTATACCCAATGGCAACAACCTGCTTCCACTAAGTTACAGCTTCTCTGTAGTGCTAAGGGTGCCTACTCCTACAAACGTTTTACTCCAGAGGATTAAAAAAAGTACACTTTCCCGAAAGCTGAAGACTAATGTATTAAGTTTTACACTATTATGTTTTCATTCTAGAAGGACCTGCATTTTCTGTGGCTGGTTTTAATGTTCAAGTGAAAAAAATATTATGAAGACATGTTTTTTTCTTTAAAGCTCGGGCAATTATATAAAGGCTGATATCTGGTATATCAACACTTGGCACTCACCTGGACACCTCTGGATTGTGAAGCTTTGCAAACTTTTATACAGTCATGAGTTTCTTTGCATAATCTTGGCCTGGCAATCCTATAATCTCCTACACTCCTCATTACAAACTTCTCCTTGACTGGCAAACAAGGGAGTAAAGTTTGAACAGGAGTGCAGGAAGGCAAAGTAAGGAAGTGCACTGACATCCTTCCCGTGAGATGAAGCAGGACACAAGGACCTGTGTTTATGCACTTGGCAGGGAACACCAGGACAAGCCAGAGATACTACGAAAACAGTGGATTGGGCAGTCCCTGGAAAGGTACCAATAAACTGTGATGGACAGCAAGTACTGATCCACAGGGAACTAGCTGTGAGAAATGCTCTGCTTTATGGTGACAGTCTGGGTGTGATGGCTGTACCATGTTCTGTTTCTTATCCCCAAAGGCTCACCTTCTCTCTGTTCGTCTGGTTTTGGATTTTTATGAAGAGTTGCAAAAGCCGAAGGAGAGAACCCGATTTTCTGTCCGTGATGGGAAATCTCCAGGACTATTCCACACAGCACAGAGCACCTGGAACTGCTTTTAGGACCATGTAAAAAAAATGCCCTAGAGATTTATTGCTGAGTCGTGGTACCCAGTAAGAAATTAAAAATAGTAGCAAGTCCCAGAGTTTACACAGAACGGCTACTTCAAACCCAAGAAATGTGCACAGAGATTGTATTTGTTTACATATCCAGATACATACTTTGTAGCCATAAATCTCACACTAGTACACGTAAGAGTATTTGCCCTGTTTTAGCAGTCTGAGGCATGCAGCTAAAACACATCATATTTTCAGGCTACTGAGTAGAGAGACCCACCTTGATTAAAGAATTTAATCAAGTAATGTGATTAGATGATTTAGTCAAAGCAGATCCTGTCCTACTGACATCATGTAACATGATAATTTTCCCAGTTACACAGGGCAGCACCTGGAAAAAGTCCCAGGAAACTTCCCTCTGTTATTCCACCCAATCGCATGCACTTCTGAGCTGATAATTCAAGGCTTAGTACAATCACTCCAGAGGTGTTGTAGTATGGAGAAAATTTGAAACAGTAATTTTTGAGAGCTGATTTTCATTTAAAAATTGATGGTTTATGTCCAAACCACGAGATTCTATGTTTATTGATCACCACTTTGCAGAATTTCATTAACTAAGCACATATCACTTCCTTCTACAGATGTTTCAAGGTAGAATTTAATTTAGAACATTCTGGTGGTAGATATTAACCAAAAGGTAAATTTACAGCATTGTTTCCAGTGGTGCTTGTAGTGCCAGCAATTGTCCAGTTTGTGGAAGAAATGCCAACCTTGCTTATACAAGTTTCTTTGGTTATGAAACACTCCTGTGAGGCAAGGCTTTGATAGTTACATGAAAATTTGCTTTCACTTTGAAATTAAGGGATCCTTTGCTGTTGTTATTTTTTCATTTGCTCCCTGGAAAGTGAATGTTGATGTTGGAATAAAGTTCCATTTAAGAGGAATTGTTCAGCACGTAACTTGGTCACCTCTATTCTGATACATGTGCATGGAAACAGAACAAAATTTGCCTGAATTGGAATCTTCCTAGTGTATAAATCATGCTTGTCTTCTTTCTGGGACACTGAGAAATGGTCCCTGATCTGTCTGCAGCATTAAGATGACACTGATACTAAACTAGGCACTGGTAGTAAAAGGGACGATACATGGTCAAAAGTCCTTCCAGTAAGGGCTTAATTCTGGCTGCTTCCTTCTTCTAAAGTTCAGTGCTCCCCATGTCTTGACTTTTGTCCATATACAGTGTGTCTTTACAGGCTAAATTACACAGCTTTGTGTCCTTCCTTTTAGTGTCCTTCCTAGCTGAGTGTTGAAGCAGAGGAGGAAACATTGTGTAGAACGTAAAGCCGGACAAGAGAGCTGTGTTTACTCCCCTGCTTAACTAAGAAGACAATCACATTTTTTCCTTTGTATTCAAATCTCATGCACTAGGGACTTACCCTGGGTGTATACACCTGAAACACTAAATAAATAGATTTTTTTTCAACCTCAACAAGATTACAAGGAGGTTGATGGTGCTGTAAAAAAAAAGCATTTAACCATCAAAGACTAAAAGACAACTGGTGATATGAGTTCAATCAGAAATCCTGGTACATTGATCTTGACTGTTTCCTAAGGCTTTCCTGGGTTCATTTGACAATGAATATTCTTTCTCCATGGGCATGCACTGGCTGATGAAGTGGATGTGGATGGTGGAGAGGAAACTGAAAGCTAGAGTTCCATCTGCCACGCTAGCAAACAGACTTACTGCTGTGCTGATGGCTGTTTATATAAAGATTGAGGTCAGGTCCTTCCTTATTTGCCTAAATCAAGGCCAGATAACATCTCTACTAGTTTGAATATTTCAAGCACAATATTTAATGACATGGACACTTGTTTTAGGCCTTTCGTTTTGAAAGATAATGATTGCAAACACAAGAACACAATCACCACATGGCACTCTGAGCAAGGTCAGGAGATTCACAGGCACACTAAGGTCACAAATGATAAAACAGACTGTAAATGGCTAACTTGCTAGCTTTGCTCCAAAATAGAAAGGATATTTGCCAACTTGGCACCTGGATCTTCTTTACTAAAAGAAGGTATCAAGCATTCCTATTACAGGGTCAGGAAAAAGGAAGTAAATGTTTCTATTAAAAAAAAAATGTTAGAATGGATCATCTGCAAGGGTTCCTCCTAGTTGTCTTCTTTAGTAGGAAGGGTCAATGTGGTGCCAGAAGGCACCAAGCAGGAGTTAGGAGACAGGCAGATCTAGGTTGTACAATCCAATATTCTGTGGACAGTAACATCATTTCATTCCTTTCAAAATGATCAAAACTCAACTTAACCTGTTAAGATTTTACCTGCTACTCCAGATAGAGCATTTCCACAATCTGATACCTCTGAAGACAAAATGTACCTTTCACAACTGCATTGGTGCTTAATTCACTTCCTTTTCCTCCTTTGCTTTTCCCCCTTCTCTCCTTTCCTTCTGTCTTTCCTTTTGCTCTTTTCTACTGTCATATGTCTTCTCATGCTGGCATTTCTAAGGTAAATAAACCAAATTCCTCTAGTCACATCTCAGTTCCTCTGGTTATTCTGACATCCCTTCTCTGCACATCTTCCAGTCTGGATTAAACTCCTTTGAACACGGGTAACCACAGGCAGGGACAAAGAGCAGGGAGGCCAAGGATTCAAACTTTGAAGACAGCCCAAGCATCCTGTTTACATGAGAACCCAAACAGAATAGGCACATTCTCCAGCCATTTGAAAAGCTGTTGGTCCTAGCAAGGTGATAAAGTAGAACCAATAAGTCTAAAGTCTTTATCAGTTTAATACATTTATTTATTAAGGTGTTTCTCTGTTTGAAGGTAGTTCCCAGCTGGAAACAAAACAAACAACTATATTTGCAGAGGATTAGATCATACTAGTCTGTTTTATAAAGAGAAAAGTATTTAGGAGGAAGTCACTGGAGGTGAGATACCTTTTCTAAATGGTAAGCACAATAGAACTGACTTTCCAAAGAACTAACTCATCTCAAATTCAACAAAAAGCTCAGGCACTGAAAAAAAATTTAAAAGAGAAAAATACTGTTACCAGTTTTTAAACATTTATTTGCAAAATGTCTTTTAAATGTTGTTGTAATTCCTTTATTTTTTTTTCTTTCAACTTAACCTGAGCCTTTATATGACAACAGGCTCAGAAACAGAACAACTCAGGTAGGCAAGTACCTGTAGCCCAAACTCCTGCCTATCAGGTTTTTGCCTTTTTTATTTGAAATTAGGTAAAGGGGATGGAAATCTAAGCTGAAGCAAGCAGTCAGGTTTTGCTTTACACTGAAACTATTTTTACCTTCAGAAGACAGCCAGGAGAAACAGTTTATCCTCATCTCAGAGTAAGCAGAGGCAATCACAGGTAGCCTTTTTTAATATTGTCACAGCAAACATTTCTGGTAAAAGTCCTGAGATCTGTTTTAGTGAACCTGTAGTAGTGGAAATGAGATTCCTGAAAGACAGAAATTGAGAAAAAACTTCCATACTTAAAAAATCAATGCCAAAGCAAAAGCCTACTGGAGATGAGGGAAAGAAAAAATAGTGAAATAGAAATACTAAAAGCTTCTAACATCTTAAAATAATTTAAAGTTATAGAAAAAAATTAAAACACAGCTTTGATAGTCACAGAGAAACAATTCAGCAGGAAAAGGCAGAAAAAAAGTCACTAATGTTTCTGAAGCCCAGAGATGCAGTTAGGATATATTATGGCACTTCACAGGCTCAGCAGGCAGAAAGCAGAACATAGGTCATCTCCTCTTGGCCCATGAAACAGAAATTCTTGCCTGACTAATGCCAGCAAAAGAGAAGATACTTTTCTTCTGAGGAAAACAAAACCAAACCTGTAAAGACCTGAAGAATTTCCCCACCCTCAGATCTTCTGCTGAGATGACATTTGAGATGACATGGGACTCCAAAGATTTGAGAGCAGGCATTAGAACGAGAAATCACAGCTGCTATTGCTCCAGAGTCGCTGTTGTGTATCCCATGCCTAAACAATATGGTAGATTCATCACATACTCAAATGTTGTGATGACGCTATGAAACCTTACAATAATGAAATAATAACACTGTGATGTCATCCAAACCCTTCAGTTGTCTTTCTGCAACTCCCTCTCTGAGTCAATTGGCTGTATCTACCTCATTGGATTGAAATGTATTTCTAAGTCTCTTTTATCTGGTCAGAATACCTCATTTCCCACTGTTACTGAAATCTGCTAGGCTCTAAATTTTTGGCCACATTTATTTTGGATCATGAATGAAGAAGAATTTGCAAATGAACTAGAAAAAGTGTTGGGGAGGTGTGTGTTGACTCTTCTCTTTGAGAAATGCCTTTGCATATGTTCTTGTTTTTATCAGTTTGCACTGATATATAACCCAGACACACTTTAACCAACATACACAAAACCTAAGCCACATGCAATCACAACAGAAATTCCAATTTCACAGCAGGATGGTGAGAAGGAGACAAAGTTCAAGCTTGATTGTGGAAGAAGGACAGCAAGCACAGCAAGCACAACTTGTTTGTTTACTATCACTATCTCCATTCCTCACCCCTCTGCTGAGATGCCAAGCTTAGCCTGTGTACAAGCAAAGCTGAGATGAGCCTTGGAGCCTGTGTTGGCCACGTTGGTCAAAGACACTCAGATGACCTCCAAACTCTTTCTAAAAATACCTACTTCTTCCTCTTCCAGAAGCTCCATGACAATTGTTTTTTTTAGGAGGCTCATTTGTGTTTACAGTTGGTGAAGAAATCAAGATGTGTTAAGAAAACTGAAACCCACAGGGCTGGTTTTGCTGATGACTGAGAGCCAGTCTCCTCCTCCTTCTCCTTGGCCAAGTTTTCAAACCCCAGCAATGATCTGGGACCTCCTTGGACAGGCAGCTTGAAACACCTTTCATTGGAGCCTGATGAATGTGTTCTCTGCCAAGGCAGAACCTGCACACGGGCAGCACCTCAGCACTGGGAACAATGGCTCTTGGCTCTGCTGAGGGGCAAATTCAGAGCCAAGAACTGAGAATTTATTTATAATAAAGCTGTTTGTTCAATAGCAACATTTGAGTACTAGAACAAACTCCCATGTGCACCAG